TATACCAAAAAAAAAAAAAAAAAGTTCTAATAAAATTTAATGCATTTAAGTTTGAACTACTAATCAAACATTGACACTTAAATGTTCATCTCAAACTAAAGGGCCATGTATCGATGCATACAATTTAAGTTCGTAATTTCCATATCTACTTTTTTTAGTTGGTTTTTTTAAGCCATTACTATTATTCTAAAATGTGAAGAAAAAAAACTTTGACTGGTAGCATACGTGATATGAATCCACTGAACATTAAACCTAATAAATCCCATTCACCTATAATAAACTTAATACTGGTCATGTTTTAATACAAAAACAGACCTTTTAAAACCATTACAGTAAAAAAAAAAAAAAACTACAAGAAAAAATTAAACAGTTCAAAAGCAGCGCACAGCAGCGACAAACAGGGGTTAACCTGAAAAACACACATACGCACGCACGCTTAAGCAGAAACGGTCAAAGCCAGAGGCACAGGAAAGGATGGCGAAGCAGGCCACCATCAGTTTTGCATAGATTTGCACAACTCAATATTTCTTGTAGTGCAACTATGCAAAACTAGCAGAGAACTGCATGAAATGAAAGAATAGGGGACAGCCAATGGGGAACAGCGGGATTTGCCAGCCCCTTATGCCAGAAGGGGCACTTAGGGCAGTAGGTGCTAGTCTATTTCACTATCTGCACTAAATGCACCTTAGCATAAGCAGTAGTTGACGTCGCCGCTCGTGTGCGTTCATGTCAAAGTAGAGCTTGAAGTGCCTCCACTGCAGTAGATTTTACAGAACTACCTGCACTGTAAGCACTTTGGCACTACGCCGACATGGAGTCGACAAGCTCACGGCCACGAGGAACCGGGCAGATCCAAGTTCTAATAAAATTTAATGCATTTAAGTTTGAACTACTAATCAAACATTGACACTTAAATGTTCATCTCAAACTAAAGGGCCATGTATCGATGCATACAATTTAAGTTCGTAATTTCCATATCTACTTTTTTTAGTTGGTTTTTTTAAGCCATTACTATTATTCTAAAATGTGAAGAAAAAAAACTTTGACTGGTAGCATACGTGATATGAATCCACTGAACATTAAAACTAATAAATCCCATTCACCTATAATAAACTTAATACTGGTCATGTTTTAATACAAAAACAGACCTTTTAAAACCATTACAGTAAAAAAAAAAAAAAAACTACAAGAAAAAATTAAACCGTTCAACAGCTTGAATTATTAAAATACAACATCACCAGCAAATGTGCATTTAAAACTTTTATTGAGACGATCAAACAAATTTAAACAAACACACAAGACAGGAGGGAAAAAAAATAAATACATGTTCAAATTTATTAAAGAACACAAAAGCAGCTGAACAATTTCCCATGCTCTTCACAGGCCGGGACAAGTGCAATACTTCCAGCGCAGAGCATTGCGGCTGATCCCAACCTGCAAAGAAAGGGATGCTGGAAAGTGACGGGAAGCGGAGATTCCTCACTGTTACGATCAGTTTTGCATGGATTTGCACAGCAACGATACGAACGCTGACTGCAAACCAGCAAAACGAACCAGGACAGTGTGCACAAGAAAGCGTGATGTTCTCTCTCTCTCTCTCCGCGACGCTCGCATCTAGAAGTACTTGAAGTGCTCACATTGCAGTAGATAGACATTTTACAAAACTACCTGCACTATAAGCACTTTAATACTGCTGGAACCAGAGTGAGAGTTTTCCAGCGCACAGCAGCGACAAACAGGGGTTAACCTGAAAAACACACATACGCACGCACGCTTAAGCAGAAACGGTCAAAGCCAGAGGCGTAGATTTTACAGAACTACCTGCACTGTAAGCACTTTGGCACTACGCCGACATGGAGTCGACAAGCTCACGGCCACGAGGAACCGGGCAGATCCACTTTTGGGACGGCGTTAGCGGCGGACCACGTCCACTGGACCCTGGTGACTTGAGGTGGTCGAAGGCTTTTCTGGAAAGAGTGGGAAAAGGTATGTTATTACACACTTGTTTCCATTCGGTTTCGTTAATATACAGCAGTCAGCATTTCATCGACGTTGTCCTAAAACCAAAATGCGAACTTGTCTAAGGACAACTTTTTTGATCCACTTCAATTGTTGACTACTGTATTTAGGTTCCAAACCACATGAGCAATGAACACTTCAAGAAAAGTCCCAACTATCGGATTAGTGCAGCAATAAAAACCTAGAAAACGGATGCATTTAAAAAAAAAACTAACTAAACCACTAAATGGAATTCGATAAGCGAAGTACCCCTTATGAAAATTAACCATGGTTTTGTTGTAGCAAAAGTGTAGTAACCGTGGTTTTACGGCATATTGATTACCATTTGTACTACAAATACCGTGGTTAAACTATGGTTAGTTTAGCAAAACCATGGTCTAACTCTAGTAACCTTGTTTTTTTTTTGTAGTAAAACCATGGTTAATTTTCATAAGGGACACAACCGGCGTTCTACGACGCATGCGCAGTGCGCACACCCCTCCCCCATGATTTGCACCAATATGGCGCCGAAGAGTCCGCAGTAGTTGTGTTGGAGAAACAAACTAAAAACAAGGGCAAAGTCGAGTGTTCACGGCTTTGCTCGTTGTTTGGGTTGGAACTTGCAACGCTAGTCGGTAAAAAAGTACTCTACAGCTCCAAACAACTGCCGCGAAGTGCGTCGAACGCACAATTAAACGCGTTCGACAACACCAGCCCCAACCGTTCTAGCTCATTTTGGTTTGACGCGGCATCTCAGTTTACCCAACGTGAGAGTCGATCAGTCTACACGAACGGCATTTGTCTGATTTTACGCCAAAACCCTTGTGTGCTGTGCGGAACGCTTTGAAATTCTATTCTTAAACGTGACCGGCCCAATGCGTTCCGCCGCACATGCGTTCGAATGCTCGCAGAACGCACGCTAATCTTCCAATATCTGCGGGAAACCAAGTCGTTCTGTATTTACTGGTCAACAGGAAGGCGAGTGTAGTTCCCCAAATATTTAAGCGCACGGTTTCGGGTTCAAACGTGCAACGTTACGTTTCAAACTCGCTGAACTCTACCTAGCCTAGCAATGTTGCTAACTCAGCACGCGCGGCCTGCAGCTGCCCCATGTGCTGTCGCTTTGTTCTGGTGGCAACCAAGCACTAGCGTTCACAAAGCACAGCGAATAGCTGCCGTTTTGGAGCGCTCGGCCCATGAAAAGTTCTCGAGGAACGGTTCGGAACGCATTTTAACGCGCCGATAGAATGTAAACTGTAACTTGAGCGAGCGCTCGTTTGGCTCTGCAGCAGCCTCGCGCACGCTTTTCAAATCTCCCTCATTCTCTGAACTATGGTGGGCTACCACGCGTCTCTAACCACAGCGTTTTAGCCCAAAACCGCTCCACTGACCCGTTCGCATGCAATAAAGTGAACGGTTTAGACGTTTACGCAAGAACGCGCTGGACTTCGTTGAGTGAATCGCGCGAAAAAGACAACAACAGGTTTCGCGCGCGCGTAGTTGCAACACATTGGTTTGTATTATCCACCATCTTCACTCACTTGTGCACACTTACCGTTCACCGTCAACGCTCCGGGCAAATCGTCGAAACTAAACGGTAAACTTCCAGCGCCCCGATGGTGGAAACACAGCATCCGAGCACGCTGTGGGTTGCGTTGCAAAACCGTAGTAAAATTGCGAAAGTGGCGCGAACGCACTCAGCTTTTAACCATGTGGTGAATGAAGGGCGGCTCCCGTTGAACGTAAATATCCACAACCCCAACTCCTTCATTAGCATGCACAAACTACTTCCGATCTCCACCAATCCAACAAGCGCCACTACAATGAAAAATGCTCACAACTGTAAACGACGATGTGGGTCAACATCTCAAGCAGACGCGAGGAGTCCGCAGCGCGTCAAAGCAGCATCTTCTCTCTTGTAAGACATATGCGGTGCGCGCGAGGAACGTTCTTAATACTTGGGGAATTATTATAATACGCTATATGCACTATTGCATGAACAATTTATCAGTTTTGTCAATATTGCTTTCGTTGGTATTTTGCTTTTTGTGTTAAAGTGGAGTAAAAAGATAACTCATCGAAATAAAAGTTAGGCTATAGAATGTTTTTAATCTTTGTATGATATTATTTCTGTCTCAAATGTGAAATATTGATGCATGCTATATTTGGCTATATTTACTTGAGATTTCAGTGCTAACTTGTTTGTTTTATGCTGCTGTATTATTGCATAATTCGGTGATGCTCTTTTTCGATAGTTAATGAACAATCAGTGTTGCTTTATATCTCAAAACAGATTAAAACGAGTTTAATAGTAATTCACAAATTTGTTAGATCTGTCCTCAGACCTGTTTTACAGAAATAAAGTGATTTATGAATACAGGTTTTTATTATAGCCACATTAATTTCAGTCCTTGTCTGCTGATTTGTTCTAAATGCTAAAGCTGTTTTTTTGTGTGTAATCTTTCACCTGTTTTTTGTTCGATAAAAACTACGATCTGCTTACTATAAAATAGATTTTTCAAAGTTGTAAATAAATCAGGTTATTGGAGAAGTTTTACGAGAAAATATTGTTTCTATTATATAGAAAACACCACATTTTCTCATTTAATTCAGTGTCGCTTGCTGTTTCTTTGTAGCAGTTTCTGAGTGAAAATTGTTTCAAAGCCATTTTTCAGTGCATGTGAACATTCTTATTTAAAGGTGTCTTTCAAATATATTTCTGTTAGTATTTTTTTGAACATTACAGTACATACACTATACATAGACAGTTTGTTAACCCATTTTGGGGATTATGAAAGCATTACTTTAATCCTGAATAAACATCAAAAGTACTTCAAAATAAGTCATTATTGACTTTAGTTTGTATGCAGTCTTGATTAAACTGTTAATATTTAGGCCTTCATGGTACAAATACATTTGCATGCATTTAACAACACAACACAAACTATCTGAAACAAACATGTACTATTTGAGTTACTAATTGTTTGAAATCAGGTTTAAGATAAGAGTTTCTCCTCCAGTGGAATGTGTTCCTGCTGTATTTTGGCACCTCCTCTTTTTAAAATGGCAGTTGCTGCGGCTCCTCCTTCTCAGGGGCCGGTATAGGGTCTTCTGTTAGAAAAGCATGGGTTGGGATTGTCTTACTGCTGATCTGGGGTCACGCCAGCTCACCTTTCACCTCCAGGGCCATTGATGTGTAAAATCTCACATGAGAAGAATAAAGACACAGAGAGAGAGAGAGTACAGATAAACAGGAGACAGAACCTTCTGATATAACACCTTGAAAAAAAAAAAACATAAAAAAATGAAAAGGGACGGTTTTAGAAAACGACATATTTATAACTTTAAAATATAGTTCTGTTTAACTTTTGATGTAACTAAAAAATGCATGCATTAATTAAATATAAAAAACAACGAAAAAGGGGAATGTTTTAGAAAAACTAGCTATATTTATATTACTTATATTTTAGTAAAATATAGTTATATTAAACTGAAATATAGTTAACTAAAAGAAAGTGAAAAACACAAAAATGATAAAGAGAAACTTTTTTAGAAAAACTATTTATATGATTTACATTTAGTAAAATATATTTATATTTACGTTTTGGTATAACTAAGATATCTAAAACTTAAAATACATAAAAAATGATAAAGGGAAGGTTTTAGAAAAACTAGTAAATAATAATAATAATAATAATAATAAATTTGATTTATAATGCACTTTACATTTAAACAAAATCTCAAAGTGCTACAAATTCAAAAAAGAAAAATGCACTTGATAGTAATTTTTATATAATTTATATAACATGTATTTGGTAAAATATAGTAAAGCACAGTTTTGGTATAAGTAAAATAACTAAAATAGTTTATAAATTGTAATAATAAATTGTTTATTAAAATATACTTTAAAAATAGCTACATAAATGAAAAAGGGAAGGTTTTAGAAAAACGAGTTATATTTTGACTTAAATGACTTATGTTTAAAATATATTTATATTTAATAACTAAAATATAGTTAACTAAAATTGTTTAGCTTTAGTATAACTAATAATGAACTAAAAGTGATTAATTAAATAAAAGGCAATATTCTTTCTTTCTTTCTTTCTTTCATTTGTTTGTTTGTTATTTCATCACAAATACTGACAAATTGCATTTGTTCCTTTTTTAAGTCACTTTGGTTAAAAGCATTGCTAAACACATTTAAATGTAAATTATTATATGTTGATCTTTACAGCTCTATAAATGCTATTTGATATTTAAACAAATCTGTGCAATGAAACGACCATATATAAGAGCATATATTATTTCATTTTAGAACAGATTTGTTTAAAATACAATGACAAACCATAAAAAAATGTAAGAAACTGTAAGATAATATTTCAATCTAATATTTGACAGAAATTGTATAACTTTTGCTGATGAGAGGTTTGTTAGGATAGGACAATATTTGAAAATCTGGAATCTGAGGGTGCAAAAAAATCTAAATATTGAGAAAATCATCTTTAAAGTTGTCCAAATTAAGTCCTTAGCAATGCATATTACTAATCAAACATTAAGTTTTGATATATTTATGGTAGGACATTTACAAAATATCTTCATGGAACATAATCTTTACTTAATATCCTAATGATTTTTGGCATAAAAGAAAAATCAATAATTTTGACCCATACAATGTATTGTTGGCTATTGCTACAAATATACCCCAGCGACTTCAGACTGCTTTTGTGCTCCAGGGTCACAAATATTACATTAATTTTCTTTGGTTTAGGTCTGTTGTTTATAAAAGCAACATCTGTTGAGAACAGAAAAAAAAAAGCAGAAGTGAAAGCTGGGTTATACAAGTTTAATAGTTGATTTTACACATGACCGGGGCTTGTTGTCACACTTTTTACTGACTTTTTTACACAAACATTAAAGTTTTAACATCATAACTACAAAAAATAGAGGCTATTTTCACTCTTAATGCCCAGGAACGATGCAGCAGTGTAGACATACTGTATATGAATATGGAATTTTGTGAAACAATCTTTTTCTTTTTTTTGTTCCAGCTTTATTGTATTATGGCCAGTCAATTTCTATCTGATTGCCTGAAGTGTGTAAGTCTGCTGTTTGTATGAAGCTTTAGCGTTATGCAGTCAACATTTCTAAAGGCTGTTTACTTGTTTTGTTTTACATATTATAAATATTAGTTTTATTATAAGTAAACATGCTATTTCTAATTAGTAACAAGAGATGCAGTCGGGTTAGTTTTGTCTAATTTATTAACTTTACTCATTTTCGTTATGATTGGGGTTTTCACTATATACAAAAAAAAATCTGAGTGAAGTTTATAGTTTAGTTTGACGTTATGAGAATTGAATTCAATCAAATAATTATTTTTATTTTTTGATCAGCTTCTCAGCAGAATAATAATAATACAATGGTTTAACTATTGAAGGCATGAACTTTATTTAAACAAATGTGTTATATTATATTGTGTTCAGTTGTTAACCAATTTATAATGATACTGAAATTTTAATTTGAAAAAAAAAAAATTCACATTTTCTAACTAGATGTTTAAACTCAACATACAAAATAACTTACAAAGAAAACAAGCATTTTAATTCAAAACCTTAACCTTTGTGACTATTAGCCCTATTTTTTTTTATCATAGATAAATTGTTTAAATGACTTAACATTGGTAAAATCAAAATATAAGAATTATAGAATCAACTCTTTTTATACATGTTGTAATACAAATATGCTTGTATTCAAATATACACAGATTTAGGTACATTTTTATGCCATTTAAGTATTTTTTCCTTTTTCTTTCTTTCTTCTTTTTCTTTTCGTTTTCCCCTTTTTAAACCAATTTTAAGCCATTATAAATAACTGGGGCTAATTGTCACAAAGGGAAAAGATTTTCTATACAAGTTATTTTGTATGTTTAATATCTAGTTAAGAAACACAGGTTTTTTTCTTGTGTATTCTCCAAACTAAAATTCCAATATAGTTCATTAACAAGTAAACACAATATAACCACACTGTCACATAGATAAAAAGAAAGAAAGAAATCAATCAATAATCAATGCAGATTTCTCAGTGCCTAATGAATCAATGCAAAAGTCAAGAAAAAAGAATTCCAATAACTTTTTAATATTTCTTATAATGTTAGAATCAACTCTAACTAATGTTAGAGTCATCTGTAAAGCAAAGAGTGTGTTAATTTCCTCAAAAAGTGTAATACTGTGACTCTGTAGCTATTAAAACATTGCTGTTATTTGATCGTGATGCAGCTATCAAAACTGAACCAGCCAATGGCGTGAGAGAGGGGCGGGGCCATCTGTGTGCAGTTCCGCTTGTTGACACTAGGAGCGCTACAACAGCACATTTCACCAGCAGTGTGCAGCAAGCTTTTACTTTCACGTGCCATTGTAGAAACACATTATTTGCAGTCAGCTATGATTCATTTATTCTGCAAGTGAAAATATCGAAGTATTATATACACAGTAGTATGTTAGAATCAACTCTAACTAATGTTAGAGTCAACTGTAAAGCAAAGAGTGTGTTAATTTCCCCCAAAAGTGTAATACTGTGACTCTGTGGCTATTAAAACATTGCTGTTAGTTTGATCATGATGCAGCTAAATTGCTCAAACACATCAAAATTGAACCAGCCAATGGCGTGAGAGAGGGGCGGGGCCATCTGTGTGCAGTTCCGCTTGTTGACACTAGGAGCGCTACAACAGCACATTTCACCAGCAGTGTGCAGCAAGCTTTTACTTTCACGTGCCATTGTAGAAACACATTATTTGCAGTCAGCTATGATTCATTTATTCTGCAAGTGAAAATATCGAAGTATTATATACACAGTAGTATTTGGTTGGTCATGTGATCTGGTCTCATCAGGTGACCCACTCCATGTAAAATAAAAGTCTTTATCTCAGTTAGGTGGATGGAAGCTTGTTTCCACTGTGGGATAAAACAAAAAAGGTAATTGTGACTTTTTATCTCACAATTCGGCCTTTTTTTTTTAAATTAGATTTTTAATCGTCTGTTATTGCAGGAACATTGGGTTTAAATTTTCACGCCCCTAAATATATCTAACACTGAACAAAATAAACGGTGACTTTTTTCTGTCAATTCTGAGTTTATGTCTTACAATTCTGATTATTTATTTTTTTTTGTGATTCTGAGGGGGGAAAGTCAGATTTGCAATATATAGGCTTAAAGTCAAAATTCTGTAATATAAACTCAGAATTCCAAAATATAAACAAAAATTTGCGAGATAAGCAAATTCAGAATTCATAGGAAAAAATACAGATTTCTAAAGGTATGTCTTGCAATTCAGAATTTTTTATTTATTTATTGTTTTGCTACCCAGGCTCTTTGGGAATACGTGCTTGTCTCGACGTTTCTGAAACACAGTTATTATGTAGCCTACGTTTCGCGGCAATTTCAAAGTTCGTGGCGCTAAAACACGCGTTCAGTACGTGACCTTGGCCACATTTTTAATACATTGCTTTAAGCACGCATCGCAGTGTTTTATTACGACGCTTCAGGTGCGTATTGCGGCAGCTCATTCACATTAAGTTCACATTAACACATCAGAAAACCCATGCATATGAAATGCAGTGCACGTATGCCTTTTCCAATGAGCCTGGGTTTATATCTCCGAAAAACTTGCAATTAACTATTTTTATTAGCTTTGTTTTGTTTTTGTTTTTTGTTTTTAATCTGGTGGCGGAAACAAGCTTTCATACTTAAGGCCTTAAAGGAATTTTTTTTATTATTTAATTCAAAGTAACTACCACAAAAATTAAGCAAAGTACGATAACAATTACATGAGATACACAGAAGAATGCAAGAAGAAACCCAAAAATTTACCAAATAAACTCCCTGACAAACAAAGCTAGACAATCACATGGTTATGAATATTCTAGGCACCTGAACACAGTCAGGGAGCAAAGAAATCACATGATCCTGGAGTAAAATAAAAGTAAAGCAAATGAAAACATGATAAAAAAAAGAGTTGTATTATATTAAATAATTCAGCCTATGTCATTAATAATTCTGCATGTTGCTGGGCCTGTGCAGTTTGTGGTGTAATAAATTTCACTATATGATTTTTAAGGACTTATTTGTATGATTTTTGTATAATTTTAAGAACAGCTTGTAATGAACTAAAGCAAATGAAAACATGATAAAAAAAAAGAGTTGTATTATATTAAATAATTCAGCCTATGTCATTAATAATTCTGCATGTTGCTGGGCCTGTGCAGTTTGTGGTGTAATAAATTTCACTATATGATTTTTAAGGACTTATTTGTATGATTTTTGTATAATTTTAAGAACAGCTTGTAATGAACTTGATGCTTTGCTGGTTCAACACAAGATTTCAAAAGTAAAATCTGAGTGCTGAAGTGAAATCAGCCGTGAATAAAATCAGAATTGTGAGATAAAAAGTCTTAATTACCTATTTTATTTTTTTTATTTAATCCAGTGTTGGAAATGGGCTTCGACAGTGGACAACTAATTTTTCAAAAGTACTAATTATTGCTTGTGTAACACTTTAATAAAATGTTTTGGCTTCATTCTCACAGCTTCACCTTGTTTTAATCCGACATATTTGACATTTAATATTTCAGATGTTCAAAGCAGACTGGTGTTCAAAGCAACCCAGTAACAAGGTCGAACCTCCCACTGACCCCAGCAGACCGTCCCACTGAATGACCACTGAGGCCCACCATGAACTCCATCTGTCCACTGCTTTCATTTGAAGACCCCTCATACAGCTCAATCCCCTCCAGCAAGAACTGTACTCACTTAAACGAGGTTAGTTTGATTTATTTACCCCATCATGAGGTAGCGTGTAATGCGCATGCGCCGCCTGCAGAGGGCGCGGCGGTCATTCAATAATCATCTGCGTCTGAATCGCGACGCCACACACCTCAGCTTCCTCAGTGATCTAGCGTGCTGTAACCTGTGCGGTCTATAAATATTGTGGGATGTGCCAGTTTCGCAGGAGCTGTCAGAAGAATCAGATCAGGTGAGAGAGAGAGAGAGAGAGAGGGAGGGAAGAACAGTGAATACATCACACGGCATCCTGGAAGCGTTTAGATGCGACCCATTTTACTAATGGATGGAATGTGTTTGATATACAGACAGTCAAACAAACCTCTCCATCTGACAAACATATGACAACACACCATTAACAATGCTTCGCTTCTGTTTCATTAGTCCAAAATTCTATCTATCTATCTATCTATCTATCTATCTGTCTGTCTGTCTGTCTGTCTATCTCTATCGTTCTGTTCTATATATAATTCTATCTATCTATCTATCTGTCTGTCTGTCTGTCTGTCTATATCATTCTGTTCTATATATAATTCTATCTATCTATCTATCTATCTATCTATCTCACATACTACATAAATAGTAAGAGTATGCAATGCAATTGTGCAGTGTAAGCTACAATTCATTCGAATTTATCCCAAAAATAAGCATTGCTTTAAATTTAATTCACACTTGGGTATCACTGAAAGCTGAGAATTAAGCTGCAACCAGTTCATTGTCTCCTGCAAATGATAACAATGTTACGGCTTCACGTTTCGTCTACAAAGAATGTAAAACTAAGGACAAAATTACAAGCCTGCGAGACGGCGGCATGATTAATGTGGCCCCGATAACTGTGTGCTTCGGTAAACGTCTGAAATGAGAAGCAACAGCAACAGTTTAAATTAGGAATATGCGGTAAATGCTCTTTTCATCCGTAATCCTCAGCTCATTTGCATTTTAATTCTTGTGGCTTTCCTCAGCCTCGAAGCCAAATCTCGTTCTGTACTGAATGAGGCCTGTGTTTTCTCACCGACAGATTCAGGAAGCCTCTTCATGCTTAATTGGGCAATAGGCATCTCTTAAATGCTTTATGTAAATTCATTAAAAAGTCAAACTTTTAAAGACTTGCTTGAAATATTAATCTTGACAAATGCTCAGAACAAGGGTTTAGGGCTGAACGATGTTGCTATGCTATGCTATGCTATGCTAAAATAAAATAAAATAAAATAAAATAAAATAAATAAAGGCCTGTTTCTTTGATGATATTCAATGTGGAGTTCTTAACACAAGTTAGAGAGAATTCACGTTCATGTAATTAAACTAATCACACTCCTAGAATAAGCATTTTATTTTATTATTGTGGTGTATTGGCACCAAAATAAGTACAATAAATGAAACATAAAATCATAAATAGCATCTGCGATCTGCCTTTTTTAACCATGCCTCAATCCTTTGACTGTTACTTCATATGCAAGGTTAATGGGGGTTTCATATTTAGTTTTATTTTATGCAATGCAATGCAATATAATGTATTATAATGTGGAAAACCGTGCGGTTTGTCGCTCCTTATGAACCAGCGATTACTTGTGGTGTGGTTTTGAATATATACCTATATTTAGATGTAGGTAAGTTTACAGATATGGACTAAAATGCACACAATTTCGGATGAAATAAGGTTTAAACTGAAAATAATATGAAATATTATTTCGCGATAATGGACAGCTGACTAGTGACAGGCGAAATGAAGCTTTGAACTTTGAATCAACTGAACCAATTGCTTCGCAAAATGATTCACTTTTTCGAAGCGCTCGAAACGCCACACGCCTGCTGGTCAAAATGGTGTAAAAGCAATAAAAACTTGGCTCAAACACGCATAAAACACCTTTCACAAACCAATCGCAAATGTTTTACTAAAAGTGTAATCTATTAAATGCAATTAACAAATCATTTAATATCATTAAATATGTGTCTGTTCTATTATACTGTAGCCTATGTGCTATTTTATTAATTTGTAGGGCTTGTTTTGTGTGTTTCATAGAGAACTTGGTTAATCAGGCCAATAACTAGTGTGCCTACAACTCTTCCTTTCTATTATACAAATGTGTTATTAAAATGTCTACAAATTTATGAAACTGATTCAAGATTAGGTAAAACACAAACAAACAACTGGGTTCACAAACATCATTGAGAACCACTGAAATGTCAAAAGAGTTATGATGCAACAATCTGAAATCACGTGACTCTGAATCACTGATTCGAAACAAATGATTCGCAAAGGTTTCGAATCTTCACGAAGCAGTGCTTCCGAAGCGGCCTTACTTGCATTCTATTGTTTTTTTTTTATTCCATCTTTGATTTTAGCATAAAAAGAATGAAGATGTGTGAAGAACCCTCAAAACACAAAGCTAGGATTGCATTTAGCCTATTTCTGTCCCTTTTGTTATGATCATTTTTTCGATGGAAAGGCCTTCATGGTGGTCACTTTGAACTCTAACTGGATTACAGTCGTCTCTTGAGACGTGTCAGGAGGAGGCCAGAGCCAGCGAGGCATTAGTCCAGTTATGTAGCTGGCCTTTCATTTTATGGGCCGTGCGTTAAACACCCTCTCAGCGATGCCACAGCGTTTGTGCATCCACTGCTTTACTTCTGAATAAGCAAACGGCAGGGTTGTGTTTCTGCGTGAGTGGGCGAGAGACTGACAGCCCAGAGGCTCTAGCAGTGTGACACAGAGATAGGAGGGTGTAGATGGTGATGTGGTCAGATGTAGCTGCTGGTAATACAGACATGCTGATTGTAAACCAAAATACATTTAGGTGCCAAGACACAGAATGTGCGTAGCATCTGTCAGTTTTCTTAATATTAGTATTGTTTCTTTTGTTTTTTTTTGGATAATCTTAATGCATATATTAAGTATATACAGTGCCCTCCATAAGTATTGGAACAGTAAAGACAAAATTGCTCTGTTTGCTGTGGAGTCAAGAAATCTGTAAATATGTTTAAAAGATAAATATGAGACAAAACTACAAATTGTCATATTTTATTATTGGGTGTTTCAATACATAAATGTTTTACCAACTAAGAAGATCAACACTTTTAGAGTTTCACCCCTCTATCTAATGTGAGCATAAGTACAGTCGTGGCCAAAAGTATTGGCAGTGACACAAATTTTGTGTTTTGCACAATTTGCTACTTAAGCTGTTGTGCTGTTCATTCACATTGTTTCTACAAGTATTGGCAGTAACATAATCTAGAAACAATGTGAATGAACACAAACACAAAATTTGTGTCACTGCCAATACTTTTGGCCGTTTAAGCTCATATTGTAGAACATAATACAGAACTTTGCACAGTAAAAACTAATCAAGTCTAGCAGTTTTCAAGGATTTATCAATCTGGACGTTTAAAAGATAAAAGACAAGATCGTATAAACCGACATATTTAACGTTAGTTTCGGTTATGATTCATTCAAATGTGCTCTGATTTCGGAGTTGCAGTGACACTCCACAATCACGTTTTGAGAGTTGAGTCACTCTCCCACTCTTTAACTTATATTTAGGCATTGTGATTACTTGAATATACAGTCATACTACATTCAAAATCAGATACGTTATAACTTATCACGCTAAAAACGTGTCACTCATGAATATAACGACTGTCTGATGAGCCCTCGTGATAAGTGCGGCTGTCGACGTTTACATCAGCACCAGCGCCTCTGCAGTGTGTGTGTGTGTGTGTGTAGTAACGTTATGATGACTGATTGGATGCAGCAGTATACATATTTGGGCTTGTTTTGTTAAACAATTAGCCTATGCAATTTATATGTTTGAAAACCGCCAAACTGACCCCAAACCAGCCCAAATTTTGTTCACCCGCCCAAGCCAATTTTTACCCGCACAATCAAATTCAAAACTGCCCAATTGGGCGGGAAACCGCCCAATCTGGCAACACTGAGCCCAAGCTGTGATATAAACGAACGCTATTGGCTATTTTAAAAAGGGGCGGGGCTGCTTGATATGTCCCGCCCTGTCTTCCTGTTTCAGTTAAAATGACGTCAACACATAGAGTAATGCTGCGTGTCTCTAAGCATTTCAGGGGACCTTTAAGGTATTAAAAGCAGGGAATGTGTCGTTTCAGTTATATGACGACACACACAAACCAGGATGAAGACGAGGGAGCTGACCTCAAGAGAAAAGCAAGCAATTTGGATGCTAAAAGAAAAGAGGAACTCAATTAGAGCTGTAGCAAAAACAAAGGGCATGAGAAATCAAGAGTTTGGAAACCACCGGCGACGTCAGCAACCAACAACGACCTGATCGGCTGAGAAAAACAGCAGCAGTTGATGACAGGCAAATCATAAAAGCTGTGAAAATTAACCCCAAAATATGTGTCTGTTAAATCACCAACAACCACGAAAATCAACAACAATCACGCAGGAGACTTTGACACAGAACTACAGAAGCTACAGCAAGATGCAAACCTCGGACCAGCAAGTTTGCAAAAAAGCACAAATGTGAGCCAGTAGAGTTTTGAAGTTGAGTTTTATGGACAGGTGAGACAAAGATGAACCTTTATCTAAGTGATGGGAAAGCAAAAGTGTGGAGAAAAAAGGGAACTGTAAATGATCCTCAGCATACAGCCTCATCTGTAAAGCACGGTGGAGGTGGTGTCATGGCATGGGCATGCATGGCTGTCTCTGGAACAGGCCCTCTCAACTTTAACGATGGCTTAATGTATGATGACAGTAGCAGAATGATTGCAGAAGTGTACAGAAACATCTTGGCTACCAATGTTCAAGAAAATGCCACCAGATTCATTGGGACGCACTTCATATTGCATCAGGACAATGACCTAAAACATCTTGCCAGTTCAGTCAAGGAGTTTATCAGGGCAAAGAAATGGAAAGTCTTAGATTGCCCAAATCAATCTCCAGATTTAAATCCGATTGAACATGAATTTCACCAGCTGAAGAGGAGACTTAAGGCAGAAACTCCCCAAAA